GGCGCGTGAGAGAGCGTGAGAGGTCCGATTTTCGATCGGTCAACGCCGTTGACTTCACCGTGACGTCAGCTTTCCGGATTGATCAAGTTTGTTCGATTCCGAGAAGATTTGATTTGCGGTCAACTGTCCGGGCCAGCCAGATCTACATAAATTATAAGCAGTAAGTTTTCTTCATCAAACCTTTAGATCCGCTGCGCATAGGTTTATGTTGAATGTTTGTCCGTGATTTGTGCATATCGAGATCCTCGTGGGTTCCAACATAGATGACTAAGCCTCTTTTGTGCACCTAAGGCCTTATATGTGCGGCACTTGCTAAAATCTCATTGGCCAAATAATTCCACCTCTTCTCACCTTATCTCAACCGATTATATATACAAAGTGAGTGGAAAAAAATTCAGCAAAAGCTTCAGTATAAGTAATCGAGAGTTAGATTAATAGAGAGATTAAGAATTGTTCACGCAAGCCGCACGGAGAAGCAACGCGCGCGCACGGAAGCTCCAAGGTCGAGCTATCACAAGAATTTTTCATGATCAACCGAGCGATTGAAGAGGTAATCACTTATTGATCCTCTTTTTAATTCAATATCATCATGTTAAGCTTGAATTATTGTAGCCATGTCCATGAATTGTTCAAAAATCGCTGTCGGGCATACGAACTAAGCCATGTCGAGCGATGTGCGTTTTATTCCGAAACTCTCGAGCAATTTTCGTTTATTCAGTCAACATATGCTATTTCATGATCAGTTAAGTTAAGATTGTCGAGGAAAAATTATTGTTTTGCCGAAAGTTGGCCAAAGCCGTCGGGCACCACACGTAGCGGAAGCCACGACCTTTACTATTGCTCGGGTTATGTTCAGGAGCGTCCGACCGTTTTATGTATAATCCTTCATATTATAATCGGTTAGGTCGATTCATGTGATAAACGGTCGGAAGAATTGTCAAGTAGCCGAACATATCGGCCGTAGCGTCGGGTCGCGCCTACGCGCACGCTTCAATCATTTTTCCAAGCCATGTTCATGTCTTTTTCGTGCAATTTCATGGGATCATGTAGCTATGATCATTTTATGTTATATCATGTTAGTTATGTTGAATTGGTCGAGAGAATTTGCCGAACGGCCGGCAAGCGCCGGTCGTGGCCACGCTGCCCGCACACAGCGGCAGCAGCGTGCCGGCAGTCAGCCAGTGCGGGCGGACAGCGTGCGTGCATGCCCGTGGGGCGTCGCGCACAACCTGCCCGTAGCAGCAGTCCGCTGGCAGTGCCTGTGCATGCCAGTAGTTCATCGCGCACGCCAGTGCGCGCGTTTATGCGTCAGTCGTCCGTGATGAAGGATCGGGTGTTGCGTTCCCTCGACTTGTCTCGATCACGGCTTCGCCACGGCCTTGCTCTCGACGATAGGTGTGATTGACTCGGTTATTAGCCTAACTCTCTCACGATACTTGAGTTCACTCGGGTTTTAGCCTCTCTACACTCTTTCGAACTAGATCGGGTCTTAGCCTCTCTAACTCGTTGAACTGGCTTGGGTCTTAGCCTCACCAATTCGGTTGCATGATCGAATTCTCACGAACCCTAACACACGGTTTGAACAAACGTTTCTTTTCTATTTCATCAGTTCTCCACATCAAAAACAATGAGGGAACATCCCTATTTATAGATCCTAACTATGACTAATTCTAATCTACCTAGGAAACTTATTAAAGCAATAAAATATTAAATTCCTAAACATTCTAGATATTATTGTGCAAGAAGGAAACTAAATATACTAGAGTCCTAAATTGACTAGATCTTGATCTTGCTTGGCTTGCACTCCAAACAATTTTAATCACACGCCCCAAGTATTTTCGGCTGCCTTATTGTCTTGTGCGTCGCACATGCGTGCGCCGTCTTAGCACTCACACTCCTCGTCCGCCTAGGTCTCTTGTGCGCCCACCTCGCACGCGCGCCTATGCGTGCGCCCAGTACGCGCCCGATTTCCTCGCGCGAGTGTGCCTCCCACATTCCTAAGCCTCCGAGGCTTAGGTCCCCGCCCGCGTCCAGAGCGCGCGCCCCTTCATCGCTTCCCAGGCCCCGGGCGTCCCGGCCACTGTCCGCGCCCCAATCGCCTACGGCGCACCCTACCGCGTCCGCTACTCCGCGCGTCACCTCCCTCGCCCGCGGGCTCCGATCACCTCCTGCGCAACCCCGTGCACCCGCGGCATGGCCCGTACCGTTCATTCCCGTAAACCGCTCATCCGCGCGCCTATCGCGCCCCACTGCTCCCAGCGCCCGTACGCGCTTGCGTGTGCCCAGCGCTACCTCACCCAGCGCCCATCGCTCGCTCGTTCCGCCGCAACAATCCCTCGCACGCATCAACCACCCAACATCCACCCCTTACGCACCACTTCGCCAAACCATCAAGCACCATGTGCGTCTACGCCAATGCGCATATTCTCGCCCTTGTCTAATGCGCCCTTTCTTGCGTACTTGTGCGCCTTGCATACGAGCTCGTACCCGTCTCTTCGGCCATGCATGCATCGCTTTAGCCCTTTTTCTGGCCTCAGCGGGTCGTCTCGGCTCTTGGACTATCTCATCGTCGGGGCTCGAAACCCACTTACGCATCATTCCCAACCCCTTTGAGAATGTCCTTGTCCTCAAAGACTCATCCTTGGCCATCCAAACATCGGCAGCTCTTTCTTCGACCATACGCGCATACCAATCACGGTCCTCGTCGACTTCGACCAAGACCGTACTCTCGACTTCGAGCATATCTTCATCCGCCCTACCCTCCTTGTGCGTCTCGTCATCATGGCCCCCATCACCCACGATTAAGATTGCTTCCTTGACCTCGGCTACTTCGGGCTCCCCAATGTCCATGGACACAAAACCGAACGAAGGTGAATCCTCGCACCCGACTCGCTCGACCATGAACTCGGTGACCTCATCTTCAACATACCCCGGTAGATCTAACGCCAATATGGGCTCTTCGTCGGCGAATCCCTCCATGACCTTGGCTTGTCGCTCGAGCTTCTCCTCGTGATCTCTTCGTTCGTGCAACTCCTCCAAATATTTTTGCTCCCATGGAGTTAACTCTCTTTCCAATCCTTCCAAAAATTTGAGATCCTCCAAATCCATCTCGTCTAATGGTATGAACATCATGACTCTTTTTTTTTAAGAATCTAAAAAAATCGAAAAACGAAGAAGAAGAATTCGAACAAATTCAAATCTAGGGGAGAAAAAAATAACAAAAGACTAGATGACACTTTTTTTTTTTGATACATCGAATTATTTCGAAAATTTGGGATAAAATTCGAAAAAATTCGAATCAAAAGACTCAAAAAATAGAACAAAAAAAATAAAAAGAATGGGATAAGAAAAGTTCACGAACACCCAATCGATCACTCTCAATGAAAGCACCAATGATGAAGGATCGGGTGTTGCGTTCCCTCGACTTGTCTCGATCACGGCTTCACCACGGCCTTGCTCTCGACGATAGGTGTGATCGACTCGGTTATTAGCCTAACTCTCTCACGATACTTGAGTTCACTCAGGTATTAGCCTCGCTACACACTTTCGAACTAGATCGGGTCTTAGCCTCTCTAACTCGTTGAACTGGCTTGGGTTAGCCTCACCAATTCGGTTGCATGATCGAATTCTCACGAACCTTAACACACGATTTGAACAAACATTCCTTTTCTATTTCATCAATTCTCCACATCAAAAACAATGAGGGAACATCCCTATTTATAGATCCTAACTATGACTAATTCTAATCTACCTAGGAATCTTATTAAAGCAATAAAATATTAAATTCCTAAACATTCTAGATATTATTGTGCAAGAAGGAAACTAAATATACTAGAGTCATAAATTGACTAGATCTTGATCTTTCTTGGCTTGCACTCCAAACATTTTCAATCACACGCCCCAAGTATTTTCGGCCGCCCTATTGTCTTGCACGTCGCTCATGCGTGCGCCGCCTTAGCACTCACACTCGTCGTCGGCCTAGGTCTCTTGTGCGCCCACCTCGCACGCGCGCCTATGCATGCGCCCAGTCCGCGTCCAGTTTCCTCGCGCGCGTGTGCCTCCCGCATTCCTAAGCCTCCGAGGCTTAGGTCCCCGCCCGCGTCCGGACTCTACTCGCGCGCCCATGCGCATGCCCCTTCATACCTTCCCAGGCCCCGCGCGTCCCGGCCACCGTCCGCGCCCCAATCGCCTACGGCGCACCCTACCGCATCCGCTACTCCGTGCGTCGCCTTCCTCGCCCGCGGGCTCCGATCACCTCCTGCGCAACCCCGTGCACCCGTGGCATGGCCCGTACCGTTCGTTCCCGTAAACCGCTCATCCGCGCGCCTATCGCGCCCCACTGCTCCCAGCGCCCGTATGCGCTTGCGTGTGCCCAGCGCTACCTCACCCATCGCCCATCGCTCGCTTGTTCCGCCGCAACAATCCCTCGCGCACATCAACCACCCAACATCCACCCCTTGCGCGCCACTTCGCAAAACCATCAAGCGCCATGTGCGTCTACGCCAATGCGCATATTCTCGCCCTTGTCTAATGCGCCCTTTCTTGCGTACTTGTGCGCCTTGCATACGAGCTCGTACCCATCTTTTCGGCCATGCATGCATCGTTTTAGCCCTTTTTCTGGCCTTATCGGGTCGTCTTGGCTCTTGGACTATCTCATCGTCGGGGCTCGAAACCCACTTACGCATCAGTCCGCTGCAGCGCGCGGTAGCGCCCAGCAGTGCAAGTCGCGCCCATGCCCGCGCCCATAGCGCACGACAGCGCCCAGCACTATGCCTGCGATGCGCCAGGTGCACGCACGCGTCCCAAGTAGCATTCAGTCGCACGCCAGTCGTGCCAGCATGAGTCATGCCGTGCCCAGTGGCACGCCAGCGCACGCTAGCGCGCACGTCCGTGCCCAGTGCTGTGCCGCAAGCCCTGCAACAGCCATGTCATGCCCAACCTGCCAATGCCCTTTAGTGCCCGCGGCCAGTCCAGGTAGCGGCCGCGCCCGCGGCCTTGGCAGGTCGTTGGCCGAGCCAGCGGCCGACCGCCGGCCACAGCAGGTCGGCGGTCCGACCAGACCAGGAGCTGACCAGTTCAGACCGGTTCAGCGTGTATTTTAATATTTTAAGTCCCGGTTTATAATTATACCCATTTTTCAGTTAAATTCCGGGACCGATCCAGTCCAGTAAATTCATATCAGTTTAGTTCCATATTTAACTGGTTCCAGTTATACCGATTAAAGTCCAAATATCGTGTCAAGTTCAGTAGAGCATCTTAACATATTAAACAGCTGTTTTTATCAGTCTGAGCATAGTATTTAGTAATTGTTTATATTATATTTCAGTTTGATCAGGCTACAAATATCAGCACTGCCTTTTCATTTCGACGGATCAGGTGGGGACTCAGACTGGGTATTACATTGATTATAATTACTCTACCATGTATGAGGTATGTATTATCAGTATCTGCTCGGAATGGTCGCCGGTCCTTTCTGGGTTCTAGTGGCCTTAGTCTGCCCACTAGAGTGTGCACATGGTGTCCGACATTTTTATGCTGGAAGATGTTCAGGTATCAGTCAGGTGATGATTATCACGATATCAGTATCAGATCATGCTTATTCAGTATCGGTTTCAGTTTAGTTCAGTTATATATGCCAGGATCATGATATTGTTATTATTTTCACTGTTTACTTTAGTATGAGTTTCTGCGGAGCACAGTGGATTTAGTGCTCACGCCCCACATTATGTTTTTCAGGTAACAGAGTCGGAGCCGAGGAGTGAGCTGGCGGTTGGTTCAGGACTTTGGTCATGTGTTTAAAAATGTTTTGGCAACGCTATGTTTCTCCGCTGATTATGATTATTTGTTGACCTTAGCTTTTGATCCGACTTTCAGTCGGTTAATATGTTATGTTAAACCGTTTTGTTTTTCTTTAAAGCTAAAATAATGGTTTTTCAGATAAAGTCATGTTTTATGGTAGCACCCCGAATCAGTATTTTGCAAATTAAATGTTTTTATTTTGAAAAACATTGCGAAAAACACACTCTGATTTTCATGAAATAGCGGGGTGTTACACTCATTGGGTCTTAAATGCAATTAAGGAGAAATTGAGAGATGAACCGAGCTACATGCCATGCACGATATTGAAAGATCTTATTAGGGATTATGGCTTGGAGTTACCTTACAAAAAGGCATGGTCAGGGAAGGATATTGCCATGCAAGATATTCATGGAGCAGACAAGGGCTCTTATGATAAATTGAGATGGTAGTGTTCTACAGTGCGTGAGACAAACCTGGGAAGCATTGTGGATTGTGAGCTTGACCCTGTCCGAAATAAGTTCCGACGATTGTTCATTTGCTTTCGTGCTTGTCTTGTTGGTTTTTTAACCGGTTTTGTTGACCGTTGATAGTTTTGGATGGCACTCTCATAAAAACTAAATTCAAAGGCGTTTTGCTTAGTGTTGTGAGTAAGGATGCCAATGATGATTTGTTCACTTTAGCATTTGCTGTGGTTGATGCCGAGACCGATGAAAACTGGGAGTGGTTTTGCTTGAAGCTGAATAATACTCTTCTTACCTCGGGCTTACCTGTTTCTAGAAGCTTCACATTTTTTACGGACCAACACAATGGGCTTCTTAAAGCCATCTCTATGGTTTTTCCTGGCACCCATCATGCTTATTGTTTGAGACACTTAGTCGACAACTTTAAGAAACAGGTAAAAAACTTAATTTGTCTGTTTATATTTATATTTAATTTATCATTAATTATTCATAATAAAGTAGGTTTTTATTATGTTTATATAAATTAAACATAGTCTGTTTATATTTACATTCTTTTTATATTTACATTCTGTTTATATTTACATTCTGTTTACATTTTCATAGTCTGTTTATATTTACATTCTGTTTATCATTACTTGCATTATAAATTCTGTTTATTTGATTACAGCTATGTTTTCATTATCATTATTATCATGCTATGTACATTTTGTTTATACATTATGTTAGGTTTTTTATTTTTATAAATTCTGTTTATTTTCATTATAAAGCAGGCTTCATTATTATTATTATTATTATTATTATTATTATTATTATTATTATTATTATTATTATTATTTTGTAGGTTCTGAAAAGCTACCCACTTAATAATAAGAAAATTGGTCCTTGATTTTTAAGAAAGCTGCGTATGCTCGTACGAGGCAAGAATTTGATATGCATATAAATAATATATTGACTACTATGCCTCTTGCTATAAAATTCCTTCAGGAGTCTAACCCAAGTTGTTGGGCGAATTCTTTATTTGCCGGAGACCGTTGGAGGATCATGAATAATAATCAAGTCGAATGTTAGAATAATTGGGTGAAGTCGGCACGATTTATGACTATCGTAGCCATGGTCGATCACATACAGAAGCAAATTATGACCATGATGCACGATCGGCGTGAAGGAGGGCCACGGTTTGTGTGCTAAGCTCGAAAAAATAATTTCATCTTGCTACGATGCTTCCCGGAGTCTCAAAATAATGCAATCAAGTGAATGGAGGTTTGAGGTTGTTGATGCCGACAAAAGTTGTGACGTGGATTTGCAATCTCGCACTTGTTCTTGTAGAGAATGACAACTATCTAAGATGCCATGTAAGCATGCATGTGCTTGTGTTGAGAGTAAGTCAATGCCCATCTATGATTTTTGTGGTCCATATTATCGGGTTGGGATGTATAGGCAAGATTATCAAGATACTATTAATTATACCTATCTTCGATCATAATGTGTCCTTTTCCTCGATATATCATGATGATGTCATTCATGCCCCGGATGTACGACCTCAGCCCGGACGCAGGAGGAAAAAAAGAATTCCTTCACAAGTTGATGTTGCGGTTAGGCGGTGTAAGCGTTGTGGTCGTTGTGGACATAGTCGGCGTACGTGCAAAGAACGTATGTACACCACTCATGTATTTGTTTTTTGGGCACGTGTATTTTTTTGTTGCCCAAGTGTATTTTGTATTTAGTCAGTTGTACTTTGTTTTTTGTTGGAATATGTCTTTTGATCAATTAGTACCAGTTAATGATGAATTAGTACCATTTTCTCTTCAATTCAGTACCGGTTATTGATCAATTAGTACCTGCTTTGTAGAATGAACAAAAAAAGGATTACCATTTATTCTTATGTTCATGGCCATTTAACAATTAAACTCAATGAAAAACATTAAAATCTCATATAAACTAATGTGAGAGTGATTTTTATGGTTTGTATAAACATCATTTGCGATCGAAATTCGGTTTTTCTATGTGTTCACTACAAGTGGTACTAAAGACTCCATATGTGGTACTAAATCCCCATAAACAGGTACTAACTTACACTATGACTGGTACTACTTTTTTTAAATGTGGACCACAGTTGAAATATTCCATCTTGGTTGACCAAAAGTAGGTACTAATTGATCAATATCAGGTGCTGTGTAGAAGAATAACAGGTACTTATTTCAATAAAAACTGGTACCAGAAGTGTATTAAGTATTGTTTTTCCATTTGTTAGAATATCACTTGTGAGTTGTCCAACATTGTTCATACATGTAAAATAGACCCACCTTATAAGACTAATGGGCTACTCCTCCATCCACCAATTGGTTTTGGGATGGAACCCCACTTGGGCTTCATCTGGGCTTTTCCCGCTTATGGTGCGCTTCATGTTAGTAGGCCCACACCCGTTTTCCCCCAGTTTCTTTCATGGTATCAGAGCCGGTTCTATTGGGATCGTGCAATGATGTACCCGTTTATGGGAGTCTGGTATCAGAGCCGGTTCTATTGGGACAGTGCGATGACGTATCCGTTTATGGGAGTCTGCTTCCCCACGTACCCGTTTATGGGAGTATGCTTCTAATAGGCTTGGGGCACCCAACCCAGTTGGGCTTGGGCTTCTGAAGGACCCACAAGTGAGGGGCGTGTTAGAATATCACTAGTGAGTTGTCCCACATCGTTCATACGTGGAAAGTAGACCCACCTTATAAGTCTAATGGGCTACTCCTCCTTCCACCAATTGGTTTTGGGATGGAACCCCACTTGGGCTTCATCTGGGCTTTTCCCGCTTATGGTGCGCTTCATGTTAGTGGACGCGTACCCATTTTCTCCCAGTTTCTTTCACCATTAGTGCGTTGAGTTCGTGACCAATTTACAATTAAACTTAATTACCCAAATTTTAAATCTCATATAAACTAATGTGAGAGTGATTATGGGTCCTATAAACATCATTTTCGATCGAAATTCGGCGTTTCTATGTGTTCACTACAAGTGGTACTAAAGACTCCATATGTGCTACTAAATCCCAATAAACAGGTACTACCTAACACTATGACTTGTACTACTTTTTTTTTAATGTTGACCACAGTTGATATATTCGATCTTGGTTGACCAAAAGTAGGTACTAATTGATCAATATCAAGTACTGCTTAGAAGACTAACAAATACTATTTAAATAACTGGTACTAGAAGTAGTATTAAGTATTGTTTTTCCATTAG